CAAGCTTACCGTCCAAGCTTACTGAATAATCTTGCGATAATCTTATTGTGCAATCTTGCAGTAACCTTACACTGCAATCTTGCAGTAATCTTACACTGCAATCTTTCAGTATGCTCACCATGCAAGTTTGGGTCAGGTGGGACATTTGAAGCTTACGTGCTGTCTGGGTAGTTATATGAATTTTGCATGATATATCAGTGTCGCTATCTTCTTTTTCTCTTGTAAAAAATGTTGATTTATATTTATTTGGAAAAATACCTTTTTTTCAAATAAGACCGTAAATGTGATAAAATTTTTGTGTGCTTTTTAACAATTATTCTTTCAGGAAGATCATCGTGGTGAGAAAAATATTTTTGTATTACTTTTTAACCTTTTTGTATAAACGAAAATTATTTTCTTTTTAGGTTTAAACTAACAAACCTTTTTTCTTTTTAAGTTTACACTAATGAAATTTTTTTCAATTATATTTAGAATATTTTCAATATAAGCCGGCCATATTCAAAATATTCCAAATATTGCCCTAATAAATTTTACTGTGTGTCATGGTTAAGTCTAATACACACTTTGAGCTCAATTACATATTCAAAACGTAATTTGAATTTGAACAAATTGTGTAATAGGGAGACACTTTAAATGAACGCATCTTTTGTTCCTTTTCCTGTGTGATGCGGAAGAGAACACAATTTTTTTCTGTTCGAAGTTCCCGATCGCTAAAATGTTTAGAAAATTTTTTTTTTTCCTTTCTAAAGGGAGTCACCACCTTTATTTTTTGAATGTTTTATGAGTGAAATTAAAAATTTCTTATTGTACGGGAATTCCTAAAATTCGCTTCTGTTTTAAGGAGATTCACCACCTTCATTTTGAGTCCTTCAAATTTTAATGATCGCAGGAAGTTGTATTTTTTTTGGCATCATTTAGGGGAAATAAACCATTGGTTTAATAATGATCCAACATTAGGGACCCAGTCGTTCCAATATTGGTGCAATGATGGCACCCAATATTGGACCGCGAATGGTAAAATCTTGGGATGATCTCACGCCGTTGCCAATCATTGGTAGCCAATATTGTTCCATCATTGGCTACCAAGGCAAAAAAAGAATTCTCAAAAGCTTGGTTATTAATTGTCTATAAAGATTGGGCCAGTATTGGAAGCCAATCATTGGTTATCAACAATCGTCCAATCTTAGTAGCCAATTATTAACCAAGCATTTGAATATTCGTTATATGTATTAGCAGCCAATGAGAAAACAATATTGGAGACCTAATAATGGCAATATCATCTCAAAATTTAATAAAACGTGGTCCAATATTGGCAACCAATAGTTCGACAAGAAATGGATATAAAAATTTCATTCAATTCATTTCACATATGGAGATAATTAAAATATTTAGACAAGTGGCCTATAGGGTGTGTGGTAGTCGTTTCCACTCGCAATCAAGGTGTTAACCTCACACTATAAGAACAGACTTCTTTGTCGTTGAAATCAGAATTTAATTTTTTTCACACTTTGCCGTCTTGGTGGCAGGAGATATTTTAATTATCTCCATATGTGAAATGACACAAGTGTCTGGAAAGAAAAAAAAGTTTGCCTACGATGCCAAGAAAAATCATTGTTACCTAGTGGTTCCTTAGCACTCCCTGAAACGAGAAAACTTAACCCGAAAATCGTAGCTGTTCATTTAGAGAAGTTTCACCCCTTTCTAGGGGTGATTTTGAAATTTTTTCAAAAAAACTTGTTTTTAAAGGATCAGAAAAAAGTTTTAAATTATTTTAATGATTATTATTTGTGTGAGTGTGTTTGTAGGATCTCATTTTCTAGATACAAGTGATTAAAATTTTTTTTAATAAAAAAGAACTCTAATTCGTAACTTTTCTTTTATATAGGTGACGATTTTGGATGATTTAATTAGTAAATAAATAAATCGTGTTAATGAATTCATATGTGTAGAAAGGGGTGAAACTTTTCTAAATGAACAGCTACCAATTTGGGGTTAAGTTTTCTCGTTTAAGAGGGTGCTAAGGAACCACCAGGTAACAATGATTTTTTTTGGCATCGTAGGCAAACTTTTTTTTCTTGTGAATTGAAAGAAATTTTTGTTAATAAATAATCGCATTACATTGCAATTGTTTATAAAAATCCCTCTAATTCAAAATACATAGTTCATATTAGGCTTGTTGGATGCGGAATTACGTCAGCTTTCAATTGGTAACGCTGAATTACGATAACATTATTTGTTTATAAAATATTGCATTTTTTATTAACATTAAATAATTCATTAATTCCCGAGGCGAAATTTAAGCCCTAATTTACAAGGAGTAAAGTAGAGTTAAACAGACCCTCTTTAGCTTCCTCAACTAGTCGCAAATTTCCCTTTCTTCCATGTTTGGATTCAAAGTAGGGTCTAAAAATTGATTAAAATATTGAAAATTTTGAAATTGCTCTAATTCTATTAATTTTTTGAAAACTCTTCAAAATATGTTAATTCCAGTTTTTAAAGGGTAATTAAAGAAATATTGTGTGAAGAAAAAATTCATTTTGCTTTAATCAAAATAATTAAAAGAGTTTTTTTTGCATTTTTTTGTACTTTTTTAATCGAATTAGACCCTCTTTAGCTTCCTCAACCAGTCGCAAATTTACCTTTCTTCCACGTTTGGATTCAAAGGAGGGCCTACGGGAGTCTACAAGATCGTAAAGAGGGCCTATTTAGGTTCTAAGGGAAGCTAAAGAGGATTCAAATTTCGCCTCGGGTTAATATCTCGAAAATAACAAAAAGGGACATCTCAATATTTTTTGTAGTGAAAATACACATTTTTAACTTTTCAAAAGATCAAAATTCACTGTTAATTAAATTGTCCAAAATTGTCACCTATATAAAAAAAAGTTAAGAATTCTAGTTTTTTTTATTAAAGAATTTTTTAATTGCTTGTATCTAGAAAATAAGGTCCTACAAACACATTCACATAAATAAAAATCATTAACATAATTAAAAACTTATTTATGACCTTTAAAAAACAATTTTTTTTGGAAAAACTTCAAAATCCCCCTAGAAAGGGGTGAAACTTTTCTAAATGAACAGCTACGATTTTCGTGTTAAGTTTTCTCGTTTCAGGGGGTGCTAAGGAAACCACCAGGTAACAATGATTTTTCTTGGCATCGTAGGTAAACTTTTTTTTCTTTCCAGACACCTGTGTATGAATTGAATGAAATTTTTGTATTCTTTTCTTGTCAAACTATTGGCTGCCAATAGTGGACCACGTTTTATTAAAATTTTTGGATGATATTGCCATTATTAGGTCTCCAATATTGTTTTCTCATTGGCTGCTAAGACATATAACGAATATTCAAATGCTTGGTTAATAATTGGCTACTAAGATTGGACAATTGTTGATAACCAATGATTGACTTCCAATACTGGCCCAATCTTTATAGACAATTAATAACCAAGCTTTTGAGAATCCTTTTTTTTGCCTTGGTAGCCAATGATGGAACAATATTGGCTACTAATGAGAGAGGTATTTGAGATGAACGTTGGGTGTGAGTGCGAGCTGTCCGGGGTACAGGTTGAGAGAGGAAGTGGGCAGAGAAAGGATGGTGGTGAGACAAAGGAGAAGGGCATGGGGGTTTGAAGAGAAGTTGAGGCAGGGTAAAGGAAATGAATGGACTCAGCGGTGTAGGAGATATGTTGAGGAGAGAGAGACCAAGGGAGACCGAGATAAATCGAAGTGGGAAAAGGCGAGGGAATTGGCCATTAAGGAGGGAAACAAATATGGTAAGGGGTGGTATGGGTTGGAGGAGGGTTGGAAGGAGAAGGAGAGAAGAGAGAGATGGGCAAAAATATGGGACTCACGATTTAACCGATGGTACAAGATGGTAAAAGGAGTAGGGGTACCAAAGTATTTGGGAAAGATGAGGAGAGAGACAAAATGGCAAAGGATGGTAAGATATCGAATGGGAGAGGGAATGAGAGAATGCAGGTACTGGATGGAAAGAGAAGAGAGATTGTGCAGAGTATGCGGGTATGAAGTGGAGGATTGGGAGCATGTGTTAGAAAGGTGTGAAAGGAGAGAGTGTGAAGTGTATGATAGGTATGGAGTGGATGCTAGGGTGAGATGGATTTTGGATGAAAATGGGCAGGGTGAAAGATGGATGAAAGGAGAAGAGTGAAAAGGATGTAAGGAGTAATGGATGGAGTTTAGATGAGGTATAGTATATAGGGTGGGCGTTAAGGGTGACGAAGCCATGTTTGGGCACAAAGAACTGGAAACGGAAGCCCTGGCACTGGCGGATGCGTAGTAATTAAGATAGTTTTTAAGATTTGCGTTAGGATAAGGAGATATTTTTGTTTTAGTATTAGGATAAGATATTGTATTTAGGTTTAAGAGATTGTACTTGGATCCTCGAACCCTGCGCTTGACAGGGAGAGTAAATAAACTATATTGGCTACCAATGATTAGCAACGGCGTGATCATCCGAAGATTTTACCATTCGCGGTCCAATATTGGGTGCCATCATTGCACCAATATTGGAACGACTGGCTCCCAATGTTGGACCATTATTAAACCAATGGTTTATTTCTCCTAAATGATGCCGAAAATAAAATATAACTTCTTGCGATCATTAAAATTTGGAAGACTCAAAATGAAGGTGGTGAATTTTCTTAAAACAGAAGCGAATTTTTGGAAATCTCGTACAATAAGAAAATCTTAATTTCACTCATAAGACATTCTCACTGTTAAAGGATTATTGGAAAAATTATTGAAAACTTAGAAGAATTTTCAAAAATACTTTTAATTATTTAAATTATTAAATGATTAACAAGTAATAATATTTAATTATGCACATTCTTTTCTACACTTTCAAGTATTTAATTATTTGACTTTGAATACTTAAAGTCTTATAGTTTTTACTAAAAATTAATTTTAAGAGTAATTTGTTATTCTTTCAATTAACCAACTATTTTTTCTAAATAAAAATAAAAAATTTGTTTCAATTTCTTACCAAAGTTTTCAGTATCTGATGGTTTGTAACCATCACTTTTGCTTCTCTGTTTTCGCAAGTCATCACAAGACGAATAGAAACTCTTTTTTTGAGAAAGAGAATCTCCTTGACCAACACTGGTCTCCTTCCTAATGTGTTCCGAGAGCCGTCTAATTCTAGATTTTGACCTATTAAAAAACATTTTTAATTTTATTTTATAAATAATTAAAAAGACAAATCTAGAATAATACCAACTATGAAATATCATTTTTATTGCTTACATGTTTTTATGTTTTTTGTGCTTTTCATCCATCATGGCATATAATTGATTTCGATAATCTTCAACAGATAATTGTATATCATCTCTCAAAAGGGGAATTACACTTGAACCTCTTTCAGGCTCTTCGCCACGAATATGAAACCTAAAATAGAAAAAAACATATTTTTAAACATTGAAATATTTTTCAATATTGAGGAATTTATAAAAATTTTCTCTAATATTAACAAAAAAAATATAAATTAACTACACTCATCGGGAATAACAGTAGAAAATGTGAAATTTTTTTTTTATTTATAGACACTAAAATTGTTTTTATTTTATACCTTAAAAATTGATAAAAATTTACGAAAAAATAATATTTAAACAAATTTTTATTTATTACAAAACAGTATAATAAAAATCAAAATGTAAAAATTAATTTTACTTACGCTGTTACATAGGGATGTTCTAAAGCTTTAACAGCTGTGAGTCTGTAATTTGGATTAAATACAATTAAGTTATTAATAAGATTTAAGGCATCTTCAGAAACATTAGGCAAAAGATCCTCGAGATTTTGACGCGGTCCTGTTGGAGTTTTGTCTAACAAATTAGATCCATAACCAGCACAAACTGATAGCAAATCTGAAAAAGTGGAATTCAATTTAAGAATTTTTGATTCATAAATCTATCAATTATATAATTTAAATTTAAATTTCCATTTATTATAATTTATTTTAAATATAGGACATTCCACAAGAACAGAGCCCTAAACAAAACACTTTTACGAATTAAAAGCTAAAAACGAGGTAATTATATCTGTTATGTTATTTATTAGAAATTTTTAGAAATTCAAAATGGCGGATTAAAAAAAGCGGATGAAATTTTTTAAAATTTATCCAATTCGATTAAAATTTCTTACTTGGGCGATTTTTGGGGTCTCTGATAACGAATCTGAAGTCAGTTCTCAAAATTTAAACATGTCGGACAAAATTTCTTAAAATTCTTTTCTATTCGGTTAAAACTTGTTACTTGCCAGTTTTCAGAAATTCAAAATGGCTTATCCAATATGGCGGAAGAACATTTTTAAAATTTATCGGATTCCGCCATATTGGATCAGCCATTTTGAATCTCTGAAAACTGACATCAGATTCGTTGTCAGCGACCCCAAAAACTTCAGAGTATTTTGAAATTTTGAAAACTGACATCAGATTTGTTCAACCTCAAAAAGTGCCGAATAATATGTTTCCCGCAAAAAAAACAATTCTTTTTATTTTTCTAACTTTAGTTCGCCATATTGGATCCGCCATTTCGAATTTTTGAAGAAAGAAAACAGATTCATAATCAGCGACCCGAAAAATTTTTGACAGCTCTATTGGCATCAAAAATAAATTTTTTTAAAAAAAAGCCCAACGGCATCTTAAAGTACACGAATGTAGAAATCTTTTAAGTGCTAGAACGTTTAAATCCATCAAAGCAATTTTTGTTTAAGACTCTGTCTGGAATGTCCTATATTTAAAATTTTAATAATTATTATTTAGGGGGTTTTAAAGCTGATTTGCAAGCCATTTTTCAGGAATGTTTTAAAAGTGAACTACCTTAGATTTTTTCCAAATCTTCCACTTTTTTTTTGTTTATTTTCGAATAATTTACAGTAATATTTTTAAAATGAAAAATAACACAAGGAAAAAAATTAATGTTACCTTTTGAACACCAAATGAATCACTATGAATTAAAATCCGCTTCCAGAATTTCGCTATAGCACGTCAGATTTAAAAATGGCGGTTCCAGTATGGCGGTTAATTTATTAAAAATCGATTGAATTTTCTTGAAACTTTTTACTTGAAAATTTTTGAGGTTGCTGATTACAATTTTCAAAGTAAAATTTATATATTTGTAATTAGTTAGACGAAAATCTAATTCATTGTTAAAAAATCAAATCTGCATATTGAATCCACCAATTTGAATTTCTAAAATCTACCTTCAAATTTGTAATCAGCAACCTCAAAAACCCCTGAGTAATAAGTTTTAAGTAAATTTAATCAATTTTTTAAAAATTGACCGCCATTTTGTATTTTGAAAAACTGACTTCGGAATCATAATCAGTGACCCCAAAAACCCCTGGGTAACGATTTTCAAGTAAATCCAATAGATTTTTAAAAAAATGTCCGCCATATTGAAGGCGCCATTTTGAATTTTAAAAACTGACATCGATATCGTAATCAGCAACCCCAACAACCTCTAAGTAACAAGTTTCAAGTAAATTTAATCAATTTTTGAAAAAAAAAATTTCTCGCCGTTTTAGGTCCACTATATTGAATTTTTCAAATCTGACTTCAGATTCATAATCAGTAACCCCAAAAACCCCTAAATAAGTGAAGATTTTTTAAAAATAAAATATGTATCTCAATTTGCAAGTTCATCTTTAAAACCTGACGCGTAGTAAAAAACGGACTGCGGATACGAAGCTGAAGTACGCAACGTTTATGATAAACGATTTTTAAAGAAATAATTTTTTAAAATAAAAAATTCTATAATTTTTTGGCTAAAAAATATTTCTTGTATTTTTTATTAATCAACAAATTATAAAAAAAAATTTTTTTAGGTAAACAATTTTACAATTTTCCATGTTAAATAAAAATTGATTCCTAATGGTTGACCATAAACGTTGCGTACCTCAGCATCGTCTGCGGATTCGAGTTCGGTGTCAAAAATTACTTTAAAAACAAGTATTACTTTCTAGGTCTTAAAATAATATTTTTTTCTTGTAAAGGTATACAAATTAAACATTTTTTAAATTAAAATTAAATTTTTAAATTTTATAACAAAAATTTTATAAAATTTATATCACGGTGAAAGGAATCTCATCTGTAAAAAGCTAATTTTACAAGAAAGACGATTAAGGAGAATGGTGATTGTAACATAACCTCAAATTAAAAAATGATTTTTAACTCCGTTTTTAACGTAAACTAAAATATAATACAAATTAATTTATGTTAATTTCGAAAGACACACTTTTGGGAGAAAATGATGTTGGAGTCAAAATCTTGCGTCAAATAATTATTTTTTTAAAATTTTAATATTTTTCCTTAAGCTCAGAAAAAACTTGTAATTCTTTTGTACATTTTTCAATGATGTTACAAATATTTTCATCAAAAATTTTATTTTTTTTTAATAACATTCCTTTAACAACATTGAAAAAATACGCTTGTAGATGATATTTCATGAAGTATATTAAGCTATTGTTTATAAAAATTGGATAAAAATTGTGATTTTTTTCTGAGCTAAAAGAAAAAATTATAATGTTAAAAACGTTTAATTTGACTAAAGATTTTGACTTAATATAATTTTTTCCAAAAACTGTATAACTAGATCCTTTAAAATTGATTGAAATTAATATTTCGAATATTTTTGTTTGCATTAAAACCCATTTATTAGTTTGAGATTATATGTTACGGTCACCATCCTCCTTAAAGAAGAACAGTTTGATTAGTTTTAATGAACCAGAGAATGTTTAATCGATAATAACACAAAAAAGTAATTAACGGAGAGAACTGGATAGTGAGTAAGACTCTCGGTTCGTTTGTGGTAACTAAACAGAATTGTTTTAGGCTACTAAACAGTATTGTTTTAGGCTACTAAACAAGTTTTGTAGCCACAACCGTAACTTGTCCCTCCGTGCAGTTTTTAACATTTTCATGTGAAAGAGCAACTCAAAATTTTATCCATTTATAATAAAAAAAAAATTCAAAATTCATATTTTTACAGCTAAGCTTCCTTTCATTGTGGAGCGTCATTAAATATTCAATGAGAAACGATAAATAACCATAAGATGTAGAAACATTAGGAATATTTACATAATGTGAGATATAAAGTAATAATTTTCAATAAACTTGGAAGAGTTCCAAGTAAACTATATGAGTATAAGAAATTATTGGAGAACTTCCAATGGAAAATACGGTACCTTCTTCGGTTGGGGGCGGTAAAGTGGCCATGATTCTTTCGACTTGATTAATTGTCGATGATCCTGGAAAGAGAGGTTTTCCAAGCTGCATTTCACCAAGAATACATCCTAAAGACCACATGTCGATACCTTTCGTGTACCTAAATAGAGTCATTTGTCAGTTACTCAAGCGAAACTTATCCCCAATCTTGACATGAGATTTTCTTTAATTTATGTCTTTACTTCGCGCCAAAAACGAACAAATTTTTTATTCGTTTAAAAAAAAATCAATTATTTACGAAAGGACGAAGCATGTAAAAGGATATAACTAATCACTTCCTCTCTTTTTTTTTCTTTACTTTTTTTGTTGATTTAAAAAAAAATTAACATAGGGGAGGGTGGGATATAAGTAGTATAACTATGCCATTTATAGCCCCGGTCGGTATTACCCTTGGTTGGTAGTTCTGTTACCCGCAGTCGGTAATGTAGATTTCTACATTATCAGAGGTGGGTAAAGTAGAGTTCTATATTGTCAACAGTCCGAAACCTGATGTTTACATTCGGTATGGTAGATTTCTACACTGTCAACAGTCGATAAGGTAAATCTCTGACATATTATTTTTAACTCAGTAGGTAACTGTTTTAGCGACAAAGTGGACAAGTGACCACTGGTCAGTATTACCCTCAGTCATTGTTATTCTCAGTTTTTAATACCACCAGGAGGAAATACTTCCACTGGAAGTAACAAGATGGCGCGTCACTGTCTAAGGAAATTACTGACAAGCGTAATAGCGACAGTGACGTCATCTTGTTACTTCCGATGGAAGTATTTTTTCGTGGTGGCATTACAAACTGAGGATAACAATGACTAAGGGTAATCCTGATCAGAGGTCCAACTTTGTCGGTAAAACAGTTACCTACTTTACCTACTGAGTTAAAATTCATGTCAAGGATTTACCTTACCGACTGTTGGCAGTGTAGAAATCTACCATATCGACTGCAAACATCAGGTTACCGACTGTTGACAATATAGAACTTTACTTTACCCACCTCTGATAATATAGAAATACTATACTACTTATATACTTTCTATTTTTAGTATAGACTCATTTTGAGTTGCAACAAAAATGAAACTGGGTTTTTTCTATAACAACAACGTAAACGCTTCGCAAATTTAATCTGGTTTAGTTGTGGAATATGTGCGGCTTTCGTTTAAGAAACAATTATTTAATAAATTCAGTTACATAAATGAAATTTCTTTTAGTTCATTAATTATTTAATAATAATAATAATTTAAATAAAAAGTAACAAAAATTCTGCTAAAAGTAAATTTTCGCTTGCATTTTAATACTATTTAATGTGTCGTAATTAAATTATTAAATGTAAATAAACTTAATTTAAATAGTTACAAAATAAGAATTATTGAAAGAAAATAATTTAAATATAATTTAGTTTTAGATAAAATTTAATATTAATTGAAATTCAAATATATTTAAATTAAATTGAAATAAAATTCCACAATTAAATTAAAAGAAATTAAAAGCCATTAATATAATAGTTAATTGTAAATTATTAAATTAAATTTAAATTGTTATTATTAAGTTTAATTTAACTATTCACTATAAAATAAATTGAATTTTTTTTTTTTTAGTGATTTGATAAAAAGAAAATAAATAAAAATATTTAGAACAAAAAAATTTTAAAATGAAAATATAGATTAAAAAAATAACAAATTGCATAAAATTTAGACAAAAAGTAAATGTAAAAAAAAGAAAATTCCATGAAATGAATTTAATACGTAATAATTTCCTTCTGTATACATTCATAACGTGAAAATACAAGGTGCTCTGATTTTAATGTGATAATAGAGAATCAATGTTAATCACAAGGGGTTAAAGACTAATTAATAGATTCTTGCAACTAGCAATATGGTATATACCTTTTCGAAGCGATCAATATTTCAGGAGCTCTGTACCATCGGGTGGCAACATAATCTGTTAGGGTTGGATCGCTTCCGGTTTCACCGTCACCTTCACCGATTTGTGTCACGGAACGAGCCAATCCAAAATCAGCAATTTTACAATGACATTGTGAATTTAATAATATATTGGATGGCTGAAAAATGTATCAATTTTTTTTATTAAATATTAATAAAAATTATAATTGAATTGAAATATGATATTAATTAAGTATTATTAAATTTTTTATAAAAAGCTCAATACAAAAGTAAAATGTATATATACATACTTTTAAATCTCGATGGATAACATTTCCAGAATGAATATATTTAATAGCCTTTAATAATTGATACATAATGAAAACTTTATGAATTTCGTGTAAAATATTTCCTTTTTTTATCACATTATGTAAATCCGTTTCTGTAATTAAAAATTATTTAAGGAAATATGTAAACAATTTATATTATTAAATACCATTGTTTAAATTAAAATTCAATTTTAATCTGTTGATATATGTTTGTTGTATTATTTCACAATTAAATGATACTAAATAATTAAATATTTGAAATAATTGTTAAAGAAAATATAATACATATAAATTAAATAGATAAATTAAATAAAGAATTTAAATTGATAAATTTAATGTTTAAATTTAATGTTTAAATTAAATTTTTAATTAAATTATAAAATTAAATCTCCAAAAAGCGTAGATTTAAAAAAAAAATTATTGTTGATAAAAAAGAATATTACCCATAAATTCGAAGACTAAATAAATATCTCGATCATTATTGGCTTTATGTAAACCAATTAATTGAATAATGTTTTCATGATTGGCGAATGATAATAAAAAGACAATTTCTCGAAATGTTCTTTGAGCATCCGTTTGATTTCTAAAGGCATCGAAAATTTTTTTTACCGCTACTATTTCCTTCGTCTTTTTATCAATAGCTTTCCAAACAATGCCGTAAGCCTGCGAAAAATTTTATAAATAAAAAGAAAATTAAAGAAACTTTAATCCTATAAGGGAATTATACTTTTAAAAAGCTGTTCGAAGAAAATTTTTTTTTTGTAAAATTGAGTATAAAATTAAATGTTATTTTAATGTATTAAAAAAAATTTTTTTTTTGTATATTGTGTGAAAGAATATAATTTTGTCTATAAAAAAAAATTTATTTGATATAAATTTTATTTCTTTTTTATTAAAATTTTCAAATTGAATTCAAACATTGAAGATATGTGTTAATAAATTTTGTATCTTTGATACAAAATAAAATGAATTTCGCAAAAAAATTATTACATGTTAAAAGAGGGTCTCAATGAAACATTCTCTACAATCGTAAACTTTTTTTAATTATTAAAAGTATGTTATTAAAAAATTATAAACAGAAAACAAATTTTATTTATTTAAATTTTATTTATTTAATAATTTTTTAATAACATACTTATATAAATTGAAAAAAATTAATAATTTAAAAAAATGTTTTTAACTGAATAAAATAAGTTATTATTTATAAAAATTGCGATTTTTTTCTGTTCTGAATGAAAAATTTAAACTAATAATTGTTTATCAAAAAAAAAAGAAACTCAACTCAATTTTTGAAAAAATTTATCCAGAGAAATATTTTATTTGAACCAAATATAATACATTTGAGTTAAATAAACGTATATTTGTCTCACAGCCTACTAGCCTATTTATTTGGCGTAAATAAAATTTTTTATTTAAATCAAATAAAAATTTATTTAAATCAAATAAATATTTATTAGTCTGTGAGACAAATATATCATTTCTCTGGGTGCAAATCTTGTAAAATTGTTTGAAATTAATTTTTTTTTTAAGTTTTGTTTCCGTTAAAAACCATTTTTCAGTTTTGAGGTTATGTTAGAGCCACCATCCTCCTTAAAATATAATATTATTTTGTTTCTAAAGATATAAAATTAAAAATTTTGAAAGTTTTATATAACAAAAGTTTCTTTGTCTTTTTATCAATAGCTTTTTACACAATGCTATCAATAAGCCTGAGCATGATTATATTCTAAAAATCATTAAGTAGTTAAAATTGGAATTTCATTTGTCATAATTATTATTGAGCCAAAATTTTATTTGTTTCAGAATATCAGAATTTTCATCAAAACGATTTTCTATATTACAGAATTTTTACTTTTTAACTGAAAAATCATTTAACAAAATTTCTAATTGATAAACTTTTCATTTCTCCAAAATTGCAAATGGCTGAACAAACAATCGACAGAAAGATATCGGCGCGTTTTTTAAAATCAACCAATCACAATTTTGTGGATAATTTTTAATTGGTTGATTTTAAAAATCGCGCCGAAATCTTTCTATCGATTGTTTGTTCCGCCATTCTATCAATTAGAAATTCTGTTAAATGTATTTTCGGTTAAGTAAAAATTCTATAGTATGAAAAATCAGTTATATATGGAAATTATATTATATCAAATAATAATTCGAATAAATGAAAATTCATCTAAAAAGAATAAAATGAAAATTCTATGCAATGAAATTCTATCCAATAAAAATTCTTTAAAATGCCTATTATGTTAAATAAAAATTCGAGCAAATAAAAATTCTGACAAATAAAAATTTTGACAAATAAAAATTCTGACAAATAAAAATTCAAAGAAATAAAAATTCTGTGAAGTGAATTTTCGGTTATATAAAAATTCTTTAATAAAGAAAATCGTTTTGATGAAAATTCTGCAAAATACTAATTTGAACAAATAAAAATTCGGCTCAAAAATAATTATGACAAATTCCATTAAATGACAATTCTAACTAATAATTTTTAGAACATAATTATGCGTCCCAAGAAAAACTTTAATTCTACAGACGTTTTACATTTAAAAAGCAGTTATAGAGAATAATTTTTTTTATTTCCAAAAAAAATTGAATTTGAAATAAAATATTTTTTTCAAAAAAAAAAAAAATTTTATATTTTGTGAAAAAAATTTAAATTTTTCTTTTATATAAATTTTTTTTTCTTTTTTTTTATTATTTTCAAACTGAATTCAAATATTGAAGATATGTGATAATAAATTTTGTATCTTCGGTTCAAAGTAAAATAAATTTTGCGAAAAATTATTATATTATATGTCACCAGAGGGTTATGATAAATTTATACTAATATATATCGTTTCTTGGAAGGTTGACATAATTTAACATCGATTTTTATATATACATACAATGTGGTGTAAATATATATTATTTTTAGTTATATATATATATATGCAAAATTACAGTATAAATAAAAAGTATCTAATAGAACAAACATAAAACGAACTCTGAGAAATACTGTAAAAGTATATAATGATACAAAATGAGTGCGGTAAAAAAAAAGAGAAAATTTTTTTTTCTTTTTTCTTTTTTGAACTAAAATATTATACTCAAGATATATTTTTCTCTAAATATCTCGATTATTTTTATTATTATGTTTTGTGACATGACAACCTGGTATATAGATATATCGATTGTCTCATTCCATTTTACAGAGAGAAATAAAGCGGACCTTCCGTTGTTTTATCTATATCACTATGCACTTCACGAATGTCGTACATATTTCCAACAAAACTTAATGCATTTATAAGAAATTCTGTTCAATAATATAAATTTTTTATGTTTTTTTTTTTTTTGTTTTTTCTTCTTCTCCACTATATTTCCTTGAGACAATAAATAAAATTACTAATTTTAAAAAATGATCAAATTTTAAAGAAAAATTGTTTCAAGGTATACCTGTTGTATATATATATATATATATATATATATATATATATAATATAATTACTTTTAAAATTGTTGCAAATTTTTAAAAATTTGTTGGACAATATTTTTTATTAAAATGACAAATTACAAATAATTTTTTAAATTAAAATAAATACAAATGTAAAATTTTTATAAATAAGTTGAAAAATATTTTTTTATTAAAATTAGAAATAAATTTGAAATTGTTTTCTAAATAAAAAAATTGTCTTTTTTTTTATTTATTTTGATAAAATTTTTTTTATATAATTATTTTTTAAACGTCCGTATAAAGTATAGTTGAAGGGTAGAATGACAAAAGGGGTCAAGCGCCAATTCACTGTTTTTACAGGAAGTAAAAAAAACATTTTTAAAAATTTTGCAGGTTATTTAAAAAAAAACTGAGAAAACCGTTTCGATATATTAGTATGTTTTAATAAATAAACAACAATTTGTTGAAATAAACCTACATATTAACGATAAAATTAAAAAAAAACTGTGGTTCCTTGAGGTTATATCAACTGCGCACATTTTCTTTAAACATTAATTATAAAAAAAATATACAGTTTAAAGAAAAACTGGAAAATTAGTTTCTTTCTATGGAATCAACGAAATGAATAGAAAAAAAAATTCCTTTAAAAAATTGTTTGTTTTCAAGAAAATTACGAATTAATTGCTTGCTTTGGAATTGAGCAATACTTTCATCTTTAAATTCAATTGTTCACTTAGTATAACCATAAAAATATTTAAAAATTAATAACAAAATGATTTTAAAATTGTTTAAAATTGAAAATACATTATTATTATTATTAATTTTATTAATTAAAATATTATTAAAATAAAATTAAAATAAAATATTAAAATAAAACCTAAAAAAATAATATTTTTTTTTATTTTGATAATATTATTGACTCACCACTTTCTTTTGTTTTTCAATCAGGTTGCAATAAAGTAAATTTGAGGCTATTTTATTAATTTAATTTTTATTAAAAACTGATTTAAATACGCAATAAAAAAGGAAATCCTTCTACAGAAATGTGTAAATGAATTTTCTTGATTTTTTTATGCAAAAACCTCATTTTCGATAAATTGGCGCTTGACCCCTTTTGTCATTCTACCCTTCAGTTAAAAAGAAATTTTTATGAATAAATTAATTAACTTTCAATAAATTGAAAATTTTAATATACTAAACTCTATTTATTTATTTATATTTTTTTTATTTATTTATTTTATTTTTCAATTTATTTATTATTTTATTTATCATAATACATATATGTTATAACTCTGTAACATTTTGTAAAAATTAATTGAAAAACATGTCAAATGCAGTGCAATTTGTTTTTTTATTTTAAATATTTGTACAGTAAAAAAAAAAAATTTATTTGATTCAAATAATCAATTACTTGACTATTATCAAATAAAAATTTACTTGTATCAAATAATTATTTTCATATGAATCAACTAAATGGTATTTGTTTCAAATACAGAAATTTTTTGTTCAAATACAGTTTATTGAATTTAAATAAAAATTATTTAATTAAACTAAATATTTAATAGATAATAGACAAATAACCGATTATTTGAATCAAATAAATTTTTTTTCAGTGTTATATATTAAAAGATATTTTTTTTTAATCAAACAGTTTTTTTTTGTCAAAAAAGAACAAATTTCTGCTGTTCAATTTGGAAAACCTTTTCAAAAAAAAATTATTTAGTTTAATGTATTAAATACTTTTTCAAATTATTTTTCGATTGTTTAAACTTTTAAAATACATATTATAAAAAAAAAATTCTGTAAAATTCGTACAAAAAAAAATTTTGAAATTATATTATTAGTAAAAATTTGTAATTTTTCGAGTATATTTATAAATAAATGAATACTAGATTATTTTTGTATTGTTTAAAGTGTAAACTAAATTATTTTTTAATAGTTTTTACTTTTACTTTTTCTACTTTTCTACTTTTCTACTTTTAAAATATTTTTCAACAAAATTTTTTTCCTACAATATTAATACTAAATTCATAATTAAAATAATTTGAAAAAGTACCTATACTTTATTTAATTTTTTTTATTTATTTTTTATTTTCGGTTTGTTCAAACTTCTAAAACGTATTTTTTGAAACAAATTTTCTTCTGTAAAATTAATCGAAATAATTTTTCACTAGGTTTTAAAAATGGATAGCAGATTTAAGAAATTTAAAAAGTAATTAAATTTTTTTTTTAATTCATATGTGAAATTATAACTTGACATTCAAACTATATTTTTATTTTCACTTTTCCAAGTTTTAAATAATATTTCTTTTCTTAAATTATTAATTTAATTTAAATTTAATTTTGTATTTCTTTTTTTTTGTAAGAGCTTTTTAATTTATTAAATCAAATAAATAAAAAAATAAAAAAATAAAAAACAAAATTATATCATAATATTATTGTAAGATAACCTATTAGTTTGTTTATTTAATATTTTTTTTTTATTATATTCTTTCAATTTTTTTTAATGTTAAAATTGAAAAAAAATTCTTTTACAGATAAAAAGAATTTTTATCAATTAAAAATAATGTATTGAGGAAAACATTTAAAATGACTATTAAAGTTGCATATCTTGAAATTGTTGTATATATATATATAAAATGTGAAATAATATAAATTTTATAATAAAGTAATTGTTATTAAGTTGACAAATAAAATAAATAAACTATATTTTTATTTTTACTTTTTCAAGTTTTAAATAATTTTTCTTTTTTTAAATTATTAAGAAAATTTGTTTATTTGTTTTTTTATTTAATAATATTTTTTTTCTACTATTTTCGTTTAATTTTCTCTTTTCGTAATGTTAAAATTAAAAAAAAAAATCATTTTTCTTTTTTAAAATTATTAACAAAATTTTTTCATCACTATTGTAAAGTAATCTATTTGTTTGTTTATTTAATAATTTTTTTCTATTATATTCTATTCTTTAAAAAATAAAAAAAAAATTTTAATTTCTTGATTATTAATTTTAAACTTAGTAAAAAAAATTTTTTTTTAGAAATAAAAGAAACGTTTATCATTTAAAAAAAATCGAGGCTAGTAATAAAAATTACAATTAAAGGTGCATATCTTGCAAATAATTATTAAATATATATTTATTTTAAAAAATGGTGAAATAATTTATAAATTATAAATAATATAAAGTGATTGTTATTAAGTTGTCAAAATAAAAATCAATTACCCCCTTGCCAAGTCGTTTGAGAATATCGTACTGCTTGGTGACATGATTGTCAACTTTTTCAACATTATTTTTTCCTGACATTCTTAATGACTTTGAAAATATAACTGATAATAATGAATTGTATATAAATGAAATATAGATGTATATTGAACCGGTCAATTCTCGAAGAGATTTTATTATCCCGACCGCAGAAAAAAAAATATCCAAAACGATATTATATTTGTAGCGGCACGGGTTTAAAGAATATTCACATTTTTACACATCAGAAAGAAGGGAAATACAGTCGGGTAGTTTTTTTTTTCTTTTTTTTTTAATTCAACCTCTGACACTTAAATGAGAATGTGTGTTGTAGGTATACATCCTAGTTACTATGGTTACGGCGTTCAACGTGCATGGCTACCAACCAGTTCACGTGACTGTATTATAATATAAAAACAAACAGGTGTCCCTCTACTGTTAAATACAAAAAGTTTAAAATATATAAAAACTATACCTAATATTAATGATATTAAATAAATTTTTAAAAAACAAAAAAATTTTAAAAAAATTTTAAGTCTGTTTTTTATTATATTATTTATTATTTTTATTTCTTTTATAATTTTGAGAATTACATAAATATTTCCATTATTAACTTGGATAATTTATTAATAAAAATTAATTAATTTATTTATTTATAAAAACTAATTAATTAATTTATTTATAAAAACTAATTAATTAATTTAATAAAAATAAAACAATTTTTTAATTCTTTATAAAAAATGTTTATAACAATTTTTATTTTGCGTTCAACAATATTTTATTGCAGTCCAGAGTAACTAATAAGATTTCCAACAGATAAAATTTATAATGAATGCTAACTTTGTTGAAAATTTAAATGAAAGTAATTGTTTATAACAATTATTTTTATTTTTTTGTTTATTTTTAATTATTTTATAACATTTGTATTTTTATTATTATATATAGACTTCTTCGAACAGAGTCAGAGTATATTTATTTCTAAACTTCGAAATTTAATCTTAAAAATAAATTAGTTTACTAAAGCACTGTTGACGAAAAATTTAAAATTACCTGTATTAATTAAAAAGGCTTGCCCGTATATGTATTCTAAATAAATAAATAAATAAATTATTTTTTATTATTATTTATTACTATTTTTAATTTTAATGTTTATAAGTTTATTTTGTTCTCTAAATGTTAGGTTAAATAATTTTGTTATTATTAATAAATTGTTTCCAATAATGTATCGTAAATTCAAAAATTACAAATCAGGTTATTTGTTTATTTATATCTCGATTTAGAATTTCTCAAACCGATTCATTGAAATTTTGAAAAAATAATAAATTTTTAAGGGGACTTTCTGGTTTAGAATTTCAAAAAAATCGATTTTTTTTTTTGCTTAAAAATGTTCCATAGTATCATAGAATTACTGTCCCAAAACGTTTTTTAAAAAATATGTACAAAAACAAAAGTTATAACAATATTTATGACGGTATGTATTTCAACAACAATCTACAGTTATCTTATTTACATATTTGGTGTTCCTCTTTTATTGATATTAGCTTAAAACTTGCTACTCGAGGGTTTTTGGGGTCGCTGATTACGAATTTGATGTCAGTTTTTGAAAATACAAAATGGCGGATCCAATATGGCGGACGAAAAAATAAAAATTCAAGCGGATTTGCTTAAAACTTGTTACTCGGGGGTTTTTGGGGTAGCTGATTACGAATTTGATGTCAGTTTTTGAAAATACAAAATGGCGGATCTAATATGGCGGACAAAGATTAAGAAATTAATTAAATTTAGTTGAAAATGGTTACTTGTGGCCTTTTGAGATTGCTAGTTATGAATATAGGCACAAAACATTAACGTTCTAGGAACGTTTTAATTAATTAAAAAAGTTAATTTTTTATTTTGTAGTCCGCCATATTGGATCCGCCATTTTGAATTTTCAAAAACTGACATCAAATTCATTATCAGCGACCCCAAAAACCCCCGAGTAACAAGTTTTAAGAAATTCGGTTCAATTTTTATTTTTTCGTCCGCCATATTGGATCCGCCATTTTGAATTTTTAAAAACGGACATCAAATTCGTAATCAGCGACCCCAAAAACCCCCGAGTATCAAGTTTTAAGCAAATCCGGTTGAATTTTTATTTTTTTCGTCCGCCATATTGGATCCGCCATTTTGAATTTTCCAAAACGGACATCAAATTCGTAATCAGCGACCCTAAAAACAGCGGGATACGAAGTTCTGTTGTAATAAAAAGTTGTTTGATATTCATGACTCAATGAACTATGTTATGAAAACTTTGAACGCGTTTTTCTCGAAAACTCATTTTTCAAACTGGTACAGAGCTTTTCTCGAAATCTACCGAACCGATTTTGAAATCTCAAAAATTTTTCGATTCTTTATTTAAAAAACTGGGGCCTAAACCTCTAAAAACTCATATTTCTACCCCCTGTGTTTTTATATGGAGGTAAATTGACCCAAAAACACGGCGTTTTTGCGAGTTTTTGAGAAAAATGTACATAAAAAATAAAAAAACCTTTAAAAAAAATCGTTTTTGAGGTTTAGGCCCCAGAATAAATCCTTATGAAGAGATTCCCGTTTGGAACTTGAATTTATGTATTACAGGTTGCCCGGAAACTAACGTACCAAAAAAAAGGTATCTTTTGGAAGACGCCACCTACAGCTATGAAATTGAACTAAATACACTCAAACATATTTTTTAAATTTTCTCTACGCAATGTGCTACAATGTCCAAAAATAGTTTTTACAATTTCTTTAATACTGTTCTTACAATAAAAGTTTTAAAACCTTCCTTTTTTGTCAATTCTAAACCAGAAAGTCCCCTTAACGTAAAATAATTTTTTTTCTTACTGTGATCAAAATAAGTTTCTGAAAATATTAGAGAAAAGAAAAAGATTTTTTATTTCAAGTTATTAACAATTAAAATTTTTTTAAATTAATAAATTTTTTTCTACAGATCCAATTAACCAATTTATAAACAAAAAAAAAAACGTTTTTTTTGTCTTTAAATGTAGTAGGTAAAAAACTAATTTTTATTTAAAAAATTTTTATTTTATAATGATTTTTAAATTATTTATTTATAAAAATTTAATTTAAGAAAACCGTGTTCTTCATGAATGACAAATTAAAAATTTTTTTATATTCCACATAAATTTTTTAATATTAAAATCTTTGAGAAAAAATGAAAATTAATTAGAAAAAATAATTATTATCTAATAAATATTATTGTAAATTGAAAATTATTATTTTCAAAAAGGGAAATTAATTTTTGGTTAAGTTGTACCGCTTCCTTTCTTTTTCTTGTTGTTGAAAATATCCCTCATAACAAAAGGATATCCATATCAATGGTTGATATTCTAGAATGGTCCCCACGATAACTTGGGATATCCATAGGATATCCCTAAGATATCCAAACTTCCGGTCTGTGGGACATCCATAGGATATCCACAGGATATCCCTAAGACATCCACAAAATATCTATTGGATATTATATCGCAGGATATCCATGGGATATCCTCAGGATGTCCGTGGGATATTCTTAGGATATTCACTGGATATCCATGGGATATCCTCAGGATGTCCGTGGGATATTCTTAGGATATTCACTGGATATTTATAATATCTCAACATATATTTTTAAAGGTTAAAATTGTTAAGCTAATATAATGAATAATAATTTAATAATATAATAAAAACAAAAATCTTATGAGCTTCTAATTTATTTTAAATGAATATTTGAAACGCATTTTTCAAAGTTTTTAAATAAACTCATGCACTTAATGTATAATTAATATTAATAGTTATTCGTTATTTGCGGGGAAGAATTTATATTGTTTAAAGACAATTTATTTTCTGACAATATTAAGCATGTGAATAAAGAAATGAATCACGAATGAGAAAAAAATTAGTTAATAATTTTTCAAATTAAACAACTTTCTCGAAAAACAAGTTGCATTTTATTTTATTTATATAAAATTTAATTCACAGAATATTCTCACTCGTAGTCTCATAATGACTTTAAAAACAGTATCCTGAGAATATCTTCTTGACATCCAGAAGATATACTGAGAATATCCTGAAAATATCTGTGAGATATCATGACGATATCTATGGGATATCCTGATGATATCTGTGGGATATCCTGACGATATCTATGGTATATCTGGAGGACATTTATGAAAGTCTATAGAGATATCCAGAAGATATCCTGTGGATATCCTCAGATATCCATGGGATATCCAAACCGCCGATTTTTTGGACATCCTTAAGAGATCCTTTTGATATCCATAGGACATCCCTAGGATATCTGCGAGATATTATCAATATATCCCAAGATATCTTGTGTTATTAGGGATATCACAAAAAAATGAAAATGTTAAAAAATTACCTTGGAGTGCCAAAATCAGTTATTTTGATCTATACTCCACAATAATTAATGAATATTAGAGAAATTTTGTACAAACTTACAGTTCATCAAGTACTTTAACTTGAATGAAGAGAAAAATTAATTTAACTTAACACTTTTGAAAAAACTCAAGTGCGCCTAGCAACCCCTGCGCCAAACAGCCCCGGTCTCCCCTATATCCATTAAAAAAATGAAAAAAACTTTTATCATTGAAAATTTTATTTAAAAATAATTGTTCAATTTTTATTCTTGGTCAAATAATGTTCTAAATTGTTAATGAAATAATAAATAATTCCTAAAAAAAAATCATTAAAAGCCTTAATTATTTTTCTCTATTGTGTCATTTTCAAATTTTTCAAAAAGAACCTCTATAAATTCAAAAAAATTTCATTATTAACGAAAATCACATTCAAACGACAGTTATTATGTAATAATTTTAAAAATTATTTTTAATTTACCAAAGATAGGAGAATTATATTTTCCTCAAAATTTTCAAACAAACAACATATTTTGAACAAACAAAAATTCATTTCAAATTGCCTTTATCTGAATGTTTTCTCATTGTTAAAATATAAAATATCTAAAGAAAATTTATTTTTATATTATATTTATTATTTTTTTTCATATTTTTTATAAATATTTATTTTATTAGCTGTTACATATTGTGCAAGCGAATAAGATAATAAATATACTGAATTTTTTTTCGCATATAAAAAGCCAATAAATTTTTTTAGATTTCACATAACGTGTTCAGAGCTTTCTTTAAATTATTTCTGAAATTTATTGTAAGTATTGTAATAATGTATTTAATTTTAAAATATTTCATAAAAAATATATATATATATATATGTAATAAAATAATTATATGTAAATATATTATAATATATTTTTTAGAATTTTTTAATTTAAAATTTTTATTTTAAAATATATACTCTCG